GAGTTACAGCTCAGTGGTAGAGCTGCTTGCCTAGCATGTGTGAGGCACTGAGTTCGATCCTCAGCACCACATAAAAATAAATAAATAAATATAAGGAATTGTGTTAATGTACAACTAAAAACAAACAAACAAAAATTTAAAAAGCTTCAGTCTGGGGCTGGGGCTGTAGTTCAGTGGTAAAGTGCTTGCCTTGCATATGTGAGGCACTGGGTTCGATCCTCAGCACCACATAAAAATAAATAAAGATACTGTGTGTTTATCTACAACTAAATACATATTTTAAAAAAAGCTTCAGTCTAGTTGAGTATAAGAAGCAAGATGCAAAAGAGTTCATTTTGAGTGATTACATTCATATCAAGTTTTTGGACTTTGTATAATTATTTATGCTGTTAAAAGTCTGAGATCCTGGGCTGGGGATGTGGTTCAAGTGGTAATGCGCTCGCCTGGCATGCATAGGGCACTGGTCGATCCTCAGCACCATATAAAAATAAAATAAAGATGTTGTGTCCACTGAAAACTAAGAAAAAAAAGTCTGAGATCCCCTGGGGTGTGGGGGGGATCAGGGATAGTGATTAGAAGAAAGCACAAGGGGGCTTTTTGGGATGCTGATTATATCTTTCTTTTAATATTTGAAAAAATATATAAATATATACATATGTATTTAGATATTGATGGACCTTTATTTATTTACTTACATATGGTACTGAGAATTGAACCCAGTGCCTCACACATGCCAGACAAGTGCTCAACCATTGAGCCATAATCCTAGCCTTTTCTTTTAATCTTGGTGCTGGTTACATGGGTATGTTCCCTTTGTGAAAATTCACTGAGTTATATGCTTAGGTATGTGTATATCTGTGCAACGAGTAATATACTTTCAGCAAAAGTTAAAAAGACAGCCTAGCTTTAAAGTTAAATTTCTTATCTAATTTAAATTTTCTTCCCTTTGCCAGGTTTTGACAGAAGAGATTAGGAATAAGAAAGGTCATGATCCATTCTTTCATTTTTTTCTTCCCTCTGTTTTCTGGCTTCTTTTCTTTGGTATGTCCCAATAGGGACTAGAGAGATTGAAAAGGATATATTTTTTTCTTAATTGGTGCCGACTGAGTCCTCTCTTGGTTGTTCTTTCTTCTTTGGTGAAGACTGATTGGATGCCTGCCGCACTGTATAGATGATGCTGGTTCTTTCTTGTAGCTCAGTTGTAAGTTCTTCTGGGATGAAACTTTTCCCTCTCCACACTGCTTTCATACAGCATATCCACTCTAGTTTGGTGTCTTCCCAAGACCTCTTTACTTCCCTCTACCAGGCAGTGAGAGAGCAGCTCTCTGTTGTGGGTTACCAGTGTTGTTGCCTAAACCCAGTTTCCTTCCATGGTTTCTCATTGATTCATAGGAATTATTTCAACCTTGACACACCAAGTGGTAGAAGTATATGTTGCTCTCTTGCTGTATTTTGCCTCATTAACTACTGTTTCCAATTTACCTTTATCACTGCTTACTTCCACTATAGTTGCCTAGACACGTGGGAGATTTTGATGATTCAGTGTTTCAACTTTACTTTTATCCTTTTATCCATGTTTTGTGCTTGAACATTGGTAAATTATGTTCTGGATGGTCACCACCAACCAATATTCAGATTTTCTCATGTTTATGAACTCGTGAATCAACATATGACCTTAGTGATTTTCTTCTCTTTCATCTTGTCTTAGAGAAGTGGACACTTTCCCATTTTTTCCTTTGTGGCTTTTTGTATTCCGTGGTGCTGGTTACTTGAGTCTTCCTTTCTCCCTTTCTGTCCTTCCCTTCTTTCTTTTTCTTCCTTTGGATTGAACTCAGTGGCCTCTTGGTTGTTAGGTAGGTGCTATACCCCAGTCCTGAATCTTCTTTTTCAAATGCTGGATGACATAGGTATCAATTGTTTCTTAGAATTCTTATTTTGTCCCTATAATATCTAGTAATGCACTCACTACTTATCTGTTTGTTATAGCTTCTGTAACAGTCCATCTTATGTTCCTATAACAAAATACCCAAGCCTGGGAACTTTATAAAAAAGAGGTTTATTTAACTTACTGTTTTGGAGATCTAGGTTCATCTGCTTATTCTGTTGAGGGCTTTTTGCCTACATTAAAGTATAATGGAGAAAGAAAGAAAATCTTAAATAAATAACAAAGGAAAACATTTGTCACATACTAAGGAACCTTAACAAGAGTGACTGGCTTATCAGAAAAATGGAAGCCAGAAAGCAGTAGGATGGCATATGTAAAATACTAAATGGGGGAGGGGGGTTATCCAAAAAGAATCTGATATCCAGCAAAACTATCTTTCAACAATGGAGGCAAAAAACAAAAAACAAAAAACAAAAAAACAAACAAACAAACAAAAAAAAACATTCCCAGACAAAGATGGAGAGAATCTATTGCTAGCACAGCACCATACAAGAAATAATTTAAAAAAGAAAAAGAAAGAAAGGAAAAGAAATTTCAGAGAGTAACCCAAATCCAAACCAAAAAAAAAAAAAAAAAAAATACAAAGAAAGAAATAAGAAATTACTTACGTAAAAATGAAAGTATCAGTTTCCTCATTTTATCCAAACTGGTTTAAAAGGCAAATACAATGTGAACAGTCATTATAAAAGTACATTGTAAGGCTTATACAAAGACATAATTTACATGGAAGTAACAGCAAAACCTAGTGGGTATGGAAGGAAGCTACATGAAATAATGTTTCCATATATTAATGGAATTAGAACTATCTTATTTTAAAATATTTTAAAATATAATGTTAAATTAAAAAAAAAAAGTATAATGGAGGGCTTCATGGTGGGAATACATGTGAGAGGGAGATCACATAGTGAAATAGGAAGCCAGAGAGTTTTAGGGGCCAGGCTTGCTCTTTTTATAGCAACTCACTCTTGAGGGAACTAACCAGGTTCCTTGTAGAACTACATTAGTCCTTCTTTATGGCAGGAGTACTCCCAAGGACCTAATTACTGCCCACTAGCCCCCCAACTCTTAAAGGTTCCACTGCTTCTCAGCATAGCCACATTGAAGATCAAGCTTCCATCATGTGAACCTTTGGGGAGCAAACCATATCCAAACCACAGTAGCTACCTTCCTGGAGATGTGCCTCATTTGTCTAATTTTTCTACCAGTTAATATTGTTAATAAGGTAGGATTTCCCTTTAAAACATCCATATCTTGATGGTGTTGTATATTGTTTACTGAGTGAGGAGGAAAAGGCATTGGGGTGCAGTGGATGAACAAGACTAAAATGAGGCAAAAGGGAAACTCTGTCAGTGTTTCATATTGTCTCTATCTTCTCCATAGTATTTTTATACTTTTTTGTTTGAAAACATATTGGCTTTTATTATAGGCATCTGAATAAAGCTCTAAGTTTTCATTTAGGACTAATTGAATGTTAGTGGTATTTCTAACTTTGCATAATAGGTAAAAGAAGGCCTGCTATTTGATGATTTATTTAAAAACTAAACCCATTGGGCTGGGGTTGTGGCTCAGTGGTAGAGTGCTCACCTAGCATGTGTGAGGCGCTGGGTTTGATCCTCAGCACCACAAATAAAAATAAATAAAGTAAAGGTATGTGTCCAACTACTTCTAAAAAATAAATATTTAAAAAAAAACAACACAGGGGCTGGGATGTGGCTCAAGTGGTAGCGCACTTGCCTGGCATGCATGAGGCACTGGGTTTGACCCTTAGCACCACATAAAAATAAAATAAAGATTGGGCTGGGGATGTGGCTCAAGCTGTAGCGCGCTCGCATTTGGCATGCGTGCGGCCCGGGTTCGATCCTCAGCACCACATACAAATAAAGATGTTGTGTCCGCCGAAAACTAAAAAATAAAATATTAAAAAGAAAAATTCTCTCTCTCTCATTTAAAAAAAAAAGATATTATGTCCACCTAAAACTAACTAACTAACTAACTAACTAAATAAACCACACACAAAAAACTAAACCCAGATGTCGTGGCCTGTGCCTGTAGTCCCAGCTACTTGGGAGGCTGAAGCTGGAGGATTGCTTGAGTCCAGGCCATCTTAGGCAACATAGTAAGATCCTGTCAAAAACAACAACAATAACAAACACCAAAAAACTTTTCTTTTCTGGATATGGGAAGAGTGTGATTAAAAGAAGAAAAGTAAGTAGATAAATATAATTAGAAGTTTTATGTCATTTTGTGAGCCTTCTCTATTTTTCCTTTGTCATTTCATAATCAGTATCCCTTGTCCCAGTGGCTTGGGAGGCTGAGGCAGGAAGACTGTAAGGTCAAGGCTGGCCCTAACCAAGCAACTTAGTGAGTCCCTATCTTTTTTTTTTTTTTTTGAGAGAGAGAGAGAGAATTTTTTAAAAAATATTTATTTTTCAGTTTTCGGTGGACACAACATCTTTATTTTATTTTTATGTGGTGCTGAGGATCGAACCCAGTGCCCCATGCATGCCAGGCGAGCGCGTTACAGCTTGAGCCACATCCCCAGCCCTCCTATTATTTTTTTTTAATATATATTTTTTAGTTGTAGATGGACACATCTTCCTTCCTTCCTTCCTTCCTTCCTTCCTTCCTTCCTTCCTTCCTTCCTTCCCTCCCTCCCTCCCTCCCTTGAACCCAGTGCCTTACACATGCAAGGTAGGTGCTCTACCACTGAACTATAGCCCTAGCCCCTGAGACCCTATCTTAAAAAAAAAAAAAAAAAAAAAAAAGGGCTGGGGATGTGACTCAGTGGTTAAGTGCCCCTAGGTTCAATCCCTGGTTAAAAAAAAAAAAAGAAAAGAAAAGAAAAGAAAAGAAAAAATTCCATGTCCTTGTATAGCATACCAGGCTTTTATTAAGGGAACTATGTTTCCGGCTTTAGCTATTGAGTGGGAAATATAAAATACTGACACTTTTTAACTAATGAATGTTGTAGAGATGTTCAGTGTAAAGTTCTTATACTTCAGGAAAGTGACTAAAAAACTATAATGTTTTACTCTTTTTTTTTTTTCCTTTGAAGGATGTTGTAACTGGACTTAGTCCCCTGCTCTTCAGGAAGCTCAGTAATCCTGACATCTTTTCATCTACTGGAAAAGCTAAACTCCAGCGACAACTTAGTCAGGATGACTGTAAGTTGCGGAGAGGAAGTCTGACCAGTTCTCTGTCAGGTAAATATCTGATTTTGTCTGAATTTTTGAGTGGTAGAGATCATGTTTTACATGCATAAGGCCTTGGGTTTAAACCCCACAACAACAACCAGAAAATGAAAGCAAACAAAAACCAACAATAACAACAAAATAAACAAAAAGAAATGTGGGACTTTGTTGTTAATATTTAAAGTTGTATCAACTGAGCATTTTGACAGCCTCTTCTTTGCTAGTCTTGTATGGAACACTCCTAGGTAAGACTGTTTTCTCTCCTTATATCTTCTTCATGGACTCTAAATGCTAACCACCTGAACTGATAGGTATTTCTTGGTTCACCAGTGCTTCTGGCTATATTCCCCCTCAATCTGATTTCTCTCTCCTCTTATGTAGATTTCACATCTCTTTTCTCCTTTTGATTTTCTTTTTCTCTCCATTCACCAAACCTAAGTCCATATGCTTCCCAATATTCTTCAATGAAAAGGCAATTAAAAAATTCAAGGGAAAAAATGTACAAAGAAATTTTGGTCTACATAGAAGGCAATTAAAATTTTAGTATTAACAGAATATGAAAAAAGGAGAGTCTATACTTTGACCATAGCTAAAAATGTTAAATAGAGAAGAAAATGTAATCCTATCATATTCCTTTGTTTAATAGTAAACAATTTTCAGTTTCTATTTCTTTCAGTTCATTTCAGGGTTATTCCTTTGGTTTTATTTTCTCACTCTTGTATTGGAATTTTTACTTTGCCAATTATCTATATAGACATTTCTTGTTTCTGTTCTATAGAATTTTCATCTTTTAGAGATGTGATTATCTTCTAATTGACCCTGAGTGAATGGATTTTTGAATTAAAATTTTAAAAAGTTTATTATTATTTGGATTAAATCTTTTTCCTTTGATCATCTAACAACCAGAGTCCAGTCTTTTACTCTGAAATACTAAATCCCTTCTATCCTGTAATTATGTGACTACTAGCTTATATACTGTGGAAATGGAGTTGGGTTTGACTCTTTTGTCTATAGAATTTGCATATAATCTGATTTCAGCATTGTGTCTTGCTTTATGCCTTCTTAGGTATTTTCATTTCTGAGTACTGAACCTAAGATTTTGCAGAACAAACTAACACCCCTCTTTTTAAAAAAATTTTTTTTTAGTTGTTGACAGACATAATATAATACCTTTATTTATTGTTTTTATGTAGTGCTGAGAATTGAACCCAGTGCCTCACCCATGCAAGGCAAATGCTATACCAACTCAGCTACAATCCTAGTCCCAATACCCCTCTTAACTACAGCCTCCCCTATGCTTATTAAAGCTTGTATCTTTCCAGTTTCATTGGTTCTGATCTATTTATTTTAGATCCTCCTCTCCAAAAGAAAACAAAATATGAAAACAAAACTAAAACAACCACTCTTCAAAATATATGTATTTTATTTGTTTATAAAATTGTTTTGTTTTGGGGGAGAGGCATCCAGGCCTCATGTGTGCTACACAAATGCTCTACCACTGAGCTATAACCACAGCCCTTTTAAAAAATAATTTCACCTCTAAATAGTCAGTCAGTTTCTGTCTGTCTGTTTTGGTATAACCTGGAGGACAAAAGATAAAAGCATGTGCTCACTCTGCTACTTTTTTTTTTTTTTAGTATTGGGGCTAGAACCCAGGTCCTCATTCATGCTAAGCACACCCTCTTCCACTGAGCTACACCCTCAACCCTCACTCTGCTATCTTTAATTGGAAATGTTTTATGCAATAACCTCTTGAATTATTCTAAGAATAGTAATTAGGATTTTTAAGATTTTCTTTTTTTCTGTATTATTTGTTTTACTAAAAGGCTAGTTTTGTTTGTACATAATATTTCTTTTATTTTATGTTGTTTTTTTTTCCTCAAATTCTTGGCAGTTGGGGCTGGGGTTGTAGCTCAGTGGTACAGTGCTTGCCTAACATGTGTGAGGCACTGGGTTTGATCCTTAGCACCACATAAAAAATAAATAATATAATGTTGTTAATATGAAAAAAAATTCTTGTCAGTCTTTGTCATTTGTGTTTCAAGTTCTTACTCCTCTGTGCTCAAATTGGGTTCTACTAAAGTTGTATGAACCTTTTTATCTAGCAGGCTCTTATTTTGAAGAGGGATATGATGATGCTAGCCTTTTATGTATGGGTAGGATGAGTCAACAAACTAGCTTTCCTTTAGAATATATAGGTGATGAGTTGGCAGGTTGTTTATAGGATTGTGTAATATTTGCAAAATGAAGTTCAGAAGGCAGGTATGCAGGCTTTACTATAGATTTGTGAAAATTTTGAGTTGAGAACTATTATCATTATTATTATTTTAAATATTTTTTAGTTGTGGATGGACACAATATCTTTATTTTATTCATTGTTATGTGGTGCTGAGGATCGAACCCAGTGCCTCACATATGCAAGGCAGACACTCTACCACTGAGCTATAGCCCCATCCCCTTCATCATTATTTTTTTGATGCTGCAGATTGAACCAAGGGCCTTGTGCATACCAGGCGAGTGCTGTACCACTGAGTGACATCCAGCCCTAATATTATGATTTCTTGTGGGAATTTTATGGAAAGGCTTCCCAGTAAAGGGTACATTTGAAAGGAGACTTGAAAGATAACTAGATTTTTAAAAAATGTATCACATTTTTTTGATTAAAAAGTAAAACAGGGCTGGGCTTGTGGCTAAGTGGTAGATCACTTGCGTAGCATGTGTGAGGCACTGGGTTCAATTCTCAGCACCATATATAAATAAATGAATAAAATAAAGGTTCATCAGCATCTAAAAAAAAGTAAAAAAAAAAAAGTAAAACAGACTCATTTTTTAAAAAAATTTGAGTATAAAAACATGTATCAGGGCTGGGGATGTGGCTCAAGCGGTAGCGCGCTTGCCTGGCATGCTCGCAGCGCGGGGTTTGATCCTCAGCACCACATACAAATAAAGATGTTGTGTCCATCGAAAACTAAAAAATAAAATATTAAAAAAAAAACAAGGAAAAAAAAACATGTATCATGACAAAGTGAAGTTCTTAGTCTTTCTCCTGCATCTTAGTTGTTTTTGTTTAGTTTTTGCCAAATTGCTGACAAATGAGTTATCTCATATTTTGTTTGTAGCAAAAACAAGAAAACTGTAAATTGCCGCAGTCTGGCTGGGCACAATCAGGAGCCACTTGTCAAAAGAAACTAACTTTATTTTTAGAACCACACACGCCAAACAAAACAGCCTCTCAGGAAAAACCCTCAGAGCCTCAACTGCCACCACCAGCTTTCCACAAGCCTCTCTCTCCCACACAAGCTTCTCTCCACCTCCCACACAAGCTTCTCTCCACCTCCCACAATCCTCCTGCTCTTGAGGCCGATTGGCTGGGTCACGTGGGCAGAGCCAAAAAAGTCCCCCAATGAGCAGGTCCGTGGTCTGAAAGGGCAGGGAAACAGCCCAATGAGCATCACCGCAGAGGAGCCAATCAGCTAGATGTTGCTGGGGCCGCTGTGAGCCAATCATCAGCCGGCAGCTGGAAGTTTGCTGGCAGCTGGAAGTTTGCTGGGGCCCCTTCGGCTGTGGCTCTCAACAGTAAATAACTAGGATTTTGCTGGCACAGGAAGATTTAAGTGAATTAGGTGGTTAAAATTAAACCAATTGAAAGTACTGGGCATAATGTTGAAGCTGAATGAGTGAATGGGTGTGAAAAAGAGTGGAAGGAGATGAGGCCAGGAAGAAATCTTGATCTATGGGTTTTTTTTTTATGATGTTAATTCTTTAAATAATTAATTCTTTGGCTTAATTCTTTAAATAGTAGAGAGCCAACAGAAGTTTTTAGGGAAGGAAATGATACCACTACATTTATTTTGGTTAGACCACTAGCAGCAGTGCGAAGAATGTTGTGAAGAAAGGGTGAAAGTGGCAAGTTAGCTGGCAAGTTCCTGAGGTTCTAGACACTTAGTCTTTTTTTTTAAAACAGTCTTTACAGGTGACTTTCATGTAATTTTCAGTGAGATTAAGGCAGTCAGTAAATTGGATTGAGCACATGGAGTCTTCTAAGTGAGTCTTCTGCTCTCTAGCAGTGTTTCTCTTTTGAATCCCAAGGCTAGACTTATTTAGGAAAATTTGTCTGTATCACTCATGTTGCACTGAGTTAGTGAGAAACCAAGTAGATTGGAAGAGATTGGAAAACTCCCATACTGATGGTTAGGTATATATCAAGGTAGGAGGTTGGCATGGTATTGAATATTACTGAAAACAGTCAGTTCATTTCAGTGTCCTACTTGGAATTCTCACTACCACCAAGACATTTGGACATTTTAATGCACTATAGATTATAAAATGGGTAAGGAAGACTTTACTTTGTATTAATATGATTTTATCCACTTGACATCATTGCATCTGTGTTTTTTCATTTATTTAATCAATAAATAATTACATATATATTTTTTGACCCTTGGTTTGAAGGTAAGCAGCTGCTCCCTTTGTCCAGCAGTGTACACAGCAGCGTGGGACAGGTGACTTGGCAATCTTCAGGAGAAGCATCAAACCTGGTTCGAATGAGAAATCAGTCCCTTGGACAGTCTGCCCCTTCTCTTACTGCTGGCTTGGTAAGTGATAGTAAGGATGTTGGCTTTTTTTGGGAACAAACCCTTGAGCCTCATTTGTCATTGCTACATATTATTCTCGTTTTTAGGATTTAGGTAATTTCTCAAAGTGAAGTATAGAACAAGATTAGAATTTTCATTGAATATATTCTGTTGACTCTCTCAGGCTGTCACTGTCACAGGTACTAATTAGTGAGCATCAAGGAAAAGATTCAGTATGGTTGTAATGTTAATGAATACATTTCCTGGGAAAGAACTTTTTTTTTTTTTTAATAGAAATGATTCTAAATTTTGTGACATTGTGTTGCTTTTCTATACAACTCTGTGGTATACATATTTAATACATGATAGGGAACATCTTTGAAATACAGTGGCTACTTAAATATACATTAGATGAAAGAATGAGACTTTTCTTCACCTGGATTTTATGTGATAAGCAGGGCATGTATGATAGTCTGGGCATGCTGTTTTCTGCCTGTCCTTGTAAGTCATACCATTTTACCTTCAGTGGTTCTGCCTGGCTACCTAAGGCACCCATGAATTTTCTGCCAGTCTCATACCCTTCCCTCTGACATTTAGAATAGGTATAATAATAATTTTCAAGGTACAATAGCAAACTTGCTCCCATTAAAATGTAATTTAATCTATACTTTAGAATTATCAGCCTTTTGTCTTCCATGAAATAGAAAGTTTTACCCATTTGTTCATCCTGGAAGAGGGGATGGGGGAGGAATTCTTTGTATAGCAAGAAGAGAGCTGAATTTTTGATTAAGGGATTTCCTAATATTACCTGAAGTTTGGGATTCTTAGGCTGTAGAGAGAACCAGGATTACTTATGGCACTTCTCCTTTCCCCAAATTTTTATTTTTAAAATTTCAAACTTACAGAAAAATTGAATAAATGGTACAGTGAACATCCATATAAGCCTTTGCCTGGATCAGTTTGTAAACATTTAGCCATATTTGTTTTATCTGTATGTATATTTAATTTTTTCCTGAGACATTTCAAAGCAAGCCAAGGACAATATTATACTGTATCCTTAAGTATTTTTTTCTAAGATCAAGGACAGTCTCCTAAATTACTGTAATATATTATTAGATCCAGAAAGTTTAACGTTAATTTAATAAAAGTATCTAATATAAAAGCCATATTCAGGTTTCCCAACCTGGTCCCCACATGTCTATAAAAGCCCCACCCCTTCTTATTTAGCCTTTGGAACTTAAAAAAAATATATATGGGATGTGCACCCTCATAAAGTCTAAGGGTAGTTCTAGGCATCTACATTTTCCTTAAAAATATTATACCTAATTCTACAACACCCCTTTTAGAACTACTGCCACCAACTTAAAGGAGAGTGTTTGATTTTGAGGTCATGTGTCATAGAAGGGATTCCTAGACTAAGGTTGGTGGAGTCCTAGCCTAGGCCAAGTGAAGTAAGTACAGTAGTCCTTAGTATTTGTGGAGAGTTTGTTCCAGGAATCTCTCAGATTTCAAAATCTGCAGATTCTCAAGTTTCTTATACATAGTGGCACAGTATTTACATATAATTTATGTATAGCCTCCATATACTTTAAATCATTTCTAGATTACTTATACAATGTAAATGTTACATAGACAATTGTTGTATTGAATTATAAACACATTTTAAAGGATACAAATAAATAGATGAGAAACTACATGATGTCTGGAAGAGTACTGAGTGTAGGAGCTTCCTCTCCTGTGAGTTGGTGCGTGCCATCCTCCTGGCATGTGGATGAATTCCCCTTCCTTTAAGCCACGCTTGCATGTGCTTAGCTGTCCAGGTACACTGTAAACCCTGTACTTTGGTTTTTCATAGAGATTTTCATTATATATGCATGACTCAAGCATAGACAACTGTTTAGAAATGTGATTGAACACAAAATGTATTACTAATGCTAATAGGCTGAGAGGAGAAAACCCACAAGCAAGGCTAGTCTGTTTAGAATCTTCTTGGCCTCTCTGTGTAGCATTCCTTTTTAGGTATGAGGCTAGATTCCTTTTGAAATGGGGGTCTTGCACTATCAGAAAAGATAGGTCAGAGAATTTCTTTATGGCCAGTTCCAAGATAGAAAGGTGTGGGGGGTGAGGGTGGGTTGGGTATAGAGTATTTTTTGTTTCTGTGTCCTGCCTTGGGGAAGAGAAATTCTAGTTTCTATGTATAGCTTTAGGGAGGAGGGTAAAAAAGAATTGATGAAAGAAGGACTTAAAAGTTTTGATGAAAGAAGGCTTAAAAGTATTCCAACTTTATAACAAAAAGACTGTTTTCATCTTTATCACTCTGGGAAGCTGTTCTGAAGCTACTTTAGGAACTAAGGACACAAAGCCAAATATTTTGACTTTATTATTTTAGTTATTTAAGAAATAACAGGGCTATGTGAGTTGTGAGGTTGGTAAACCTGGACAAAAACCACAATATATATGTGGTAATGTCAGAAGGTGAGATTCATATAAAATAAAATCAATCATTTTAGAGAGTACATTTAATAGCATTTAGTACATTCACAATGTTTGCAGCTACCATCTACCTAAAGTTCTAAAATATTTCACTACTCTAGAAGAAAACTGTCTACCCATTAAACAGTCATTCCTTATGCCACCCTTATCCCAACGATGGCAACCACCAATCTGCTTTCTGATTCTAGGGATTTACCTATTCTGTATTCATATAAGTGAAGTCATATAATAAGTCCCACCTTTTGTGTCCAACTTTTGTTATTGAAGATTGAACCCAGGGACACTTAACCGCTAAGCCACATTCCCATCCTTTTTTTTTTTTTTTTTGAGATAGGGTCTCACTAAGTTGTGTAGGGCCTCCTCTCTAAGTTGCTGAGACTGGCTGCAAACTTATAATCCTTCTGCCTCAGCCTCCTGAGTTGCTAGTGACTTTTTTCATTTATCATGTTTTTAAAGTTTTTCTGTATTATAGCACATACCAATAATTTATTCCTCTTTATGACCGAATAAGATTCCATTTTATGGATTTACAGTAGTCTCTCCTTAGCTGTACTTTGGCTTTTCAGGGTTTAAGTTATCTGAGGTCAATAGTAGTGCAAAAATAGGGAAATTCCAGAAATAAGCAGTTCATAAGTTTTCAATTACGTACTATTTCGAGTAGCTTGATGAAGTCTTATACTATCCTGCTCTGTCTTGCCTGAAACATCTTTGTTCAGCTGTACATGTTCCCTGCCTGTTAGTCTCTTAGTAACCATGTTAGTTATCAGATCAGCTGTTCTGGTGTTGTAGTGCTTGCTTCAAGTTACTCTTGTTTTACTCAATAATAGCTCCCAAATTCAAAAACAGTGATGGCAGTTTTACTACACAGTATATTTAATTATTATTATCTTTTTTTTTTTTTTTTTTTAGAGAGAGAGAGAATTTTTTAATATTTCTTTTTTTTTAGTTTTTGGCAGACACAACATCTTTATTTGTATGTGGTGCTGAGGATCGAACCCGGGCCACACGCATGCCAGGCGAGCACGCTACTGCTTGAGCCACATCCCCAGCCCAATTTAATTATTAATTATTATTATTTTCATCTTACTGCCTAATTTATAAGTTACAACCCTAGCCCCAGGGATTTTATCTTGTCCTTCTGTCTTCTTCCATTCTTTCTTTCTTGGCTGCAATTGAGTAGCTTTCTTCTACCATGCCATTCTGCTGTGATGCTCTGTCTCACTTCAGGCCCAGAGCAATGGAGTTGGTTGACCATTGACTGAGACTTCTCAAACTAAAATAACTTTTCCTCCTCTAAGTTGTTCTTGTCAGGTATTTGGTCACATCAGTGAAAGGCTGACTAACATGTCATCTGATGTAGATACTCTTTAAAAAAGTAATTTAGAGCTGAGGGTATAGCTCAGTGGTAGAGTGCCTGCTAAGTGCATGAGGCCCTAAGTTTGATCCTCAGCAACACACAAACACACACACACAGAGTTTATTTATTTAAAGTTTTATTATGGTTTCTTTGTTGACTCATAAGTTATTTTTTTAACGTTTATTTTATTTATTTATTTTATGTGGTGCTGAGGATCAAACCCAGTGCCTCACGCTTACTAGGCGAGCATTCTACCAGTGAGCCACAACCCCAGCCCCTTGGTTATTCTTTTTGTTAAGAGGAATATGTTTCTAATGCCACCTAGTGTCAATTCCAGGGTATATGAATAATGTTTCATAAGAGGTTTTAAAAGAGAAATTGGGAGATTTAATGAGATTTGGGTATTAACAGTCTAGAGTTTTTCAAAAACATCCTCTCCCTTTTTTCTGGCAATATCAGGTTTCAACCCCAGGGCTTTGTGCATGCCAGGCAGGCACTCTTCCACTGAGCAACAACTTCCGCTCAGGCATCCTTTATCAAATACTAAAATAACCATTATTTTACCTGAACAAATTTGGAGCTGAATTTTACCTAGGATTGTTAAACATTTTTTATCTCTTCTGTGATGATTTATAAAGAATTTAAGGTATATCATCCTAATATAAAGACCTCTATATTGTCTAAGGAAAATTAAAATTTAAAAACATTAAAGATGAATTGGTTGTCTAATGGATATCTTAGTTCATTTTGTGTTGCTATAATAGAATACCTGATTGGGTAGTTTGTAAAAAGTAGAAATTTATTTCTCACAGTTCTGGAGTCAGGGAAGTCCCAGATCAAGGTATTGGCATGTGGTGAAGGCTTCCTTGCTACATCCACAGATGGTGGAAGGTGGAAGGGCAAGAGAGTGTACCCACTCCTACAAGCCCTTTTTTTTTTGTTGTAGATGAACACAATATCTTCATTTTTATTTGTTTATTTTTATGTGGTGCTGGAGACTGAACCCAGGGCCTCACGCATGCGAGGCAAGCGCTCTACAATTGAGCTACAACCCCAGCCCTACAAGCCCTTTTTATAGTGGCATTAACCCATTTTGGGGGCTATGTTCATACCATAGTGTAATGAATTCTTATAATTTTTTGTTTCCTCAGCATCCATCTCAAATATATAT